TCAGTCGTTCCTGTTGGCCGACAGAACCTTTACTTGGCCTCAGCGGCTGTCAGTTGGAGCAAACCAAGGCATCTGCTCACTCAGCAAACCCGTCATCACCATTTGCGACGTATGAACCTGTGGCCTCCGACGATGAGCACAATCACTATCAGAGCCTGCCGGGTTTGAGATTCACCCCCCCGACCATCGATTCTCCTCCTACCCTACCCACCTTTGACTGCAAATGAGCCGGGCGGGCTTAGAACCACGCTAGCAATCACCGCGTTTGACCAACCACGTATCAGCCTGGCCACCACAAAGGGCAACCCCCTGCGAATCGGCTGCTCGATGGACGGACAAGCAGATGCCAAAGTTCAGTCAGAGCCTACGCCCGCTGTACGGCGAATCGGTCGATCCCTTCTCACGCAAACAACACTCGCCGAGAGCACACAAGCTGTTCGATCTTATCCGCCGCAAAGAGCGACGAGTCACCTTTCGACATCCTAACGTTTGTACTGTGACGCCACACGTTCTTCGGGGCAGAGCCTGGGCAGAGTCATGACAAGCTCTAGAATGGCCCTTTTCAGGGACCCCTTCACAGGCGGCACCGGCCGAGGCACAGATTCCTTCAGATGTTCCCAGGCATTGTTAGCGGCAAACTGTGCGACAGGGGAATGGCGGACAGGGCGGGATGATGATGAGGATTGAGGGGGTGCATCTTCGCTCGTACCCTACCGCACCAGTCGCACTGGGTTCCCCCCGTTTGCATCCATCCCAATGGCCGACCTAGCAAGTGCCTGAGAAGCTCCACCCGCTACGAATAATTAATTATCTGCGTGAGCGACTGACCGCGTGCATTCTCGCACCCTGGATGGGACCACCTGTTCCTCGCCTCTGTTTCGCTGCTTGGGCCGCACGTCCTTCCACCGATGCCCCCTTCCTGACACTGTGCTGGATCTGGACTGGGCGGTTCTCTGGTCGAGGAGGGGCACTCACGCTGACACTGGATTTGTTGTGCAGAGATCCCCGCCGGAAAAGCGAGCACACCTTCGGGAACGGACGCTCGTCTGAAAAGATTTAACCCCCATTTCCAAGAGACACTGTACCAGGAGGTGCCAATCGCCAGATTCAGGTAAGCCCAATCTCTCTGCTGTACGCCATATCCCCTACATTCCAGCTCCAGGGCACCGTAGCGACGGGTCCGGCAGCAAGCATGGCCAGTGCACGTCCATGGGAACGAGCTGGGCGGGAAACTGCAAGCCATGGCCCACCATCCCAACGGTCCGACAGGCCACCTTACACACTGAGCCAGACGCAGACAGTGTCAACAAGGTGTCGTCTTCTAGTGGGAACGTGGACAGACCTACCGCGAGGGGGGGAATGGGGATTCTGTTGTTGGAGGGCTCGAGCTGCAGGTGGAGGGCGCCATCACCCTTCGGCGAGTCTCGTACCTACACTACTGTGCCTGGGTCCCTGGGGACAGGGGCCAAGCTCGTTGCTGTGCTAGGCCGCCTGCACCCTTGGGCCCACTGTGCGCCCTCCTTCGGCAGCACCAACCTCCTGAGCCCTCCAACCAGGCTCCAGCTCTGTTCCCCAGGCGTAGAGCGACGGCCCCCCCCGCCTTTTCGCTTTCTTAAACTGTCTGGTCATGGCCACAGCCCGTGCTACCACCTCACTATCCTCTTTTCATTCACTCCGCAGCTCTCTCTCGCCCTTATCCTCAATCGAGGTTTCTGGCTGACACTTGCGTTGCTTGTTTCTGTACAGGGAAATCGCTTGACATCCAAAACCGTTACTCTGGGGCCGCACCTTGTCCTCCGGACTCAACTCCTTCGCCGCGAACCCTTCTCGGAACACAGCTTGGTGAACAAGTCGCGTTTCCTTGTTTTGCGCGCGCGCCCACACACACACGCCTACGCTCACACTTGACAACAATCGCCGACCACGGTCTGGCACCAACCCTTCAATTCCCTTGCGCGTCGGCCTCTTCCAACAAATCAAGGAGCGCTCTCTACAGGCACAACGCTGCATACCAAACACAGACGCCTGAAGTCGGACAGGTCGATCAAAAATTAATCTGTATTCCTCACTCCCTTCCGCGCAGGCCACCAGACTCGATTCAGCGCAACAGCCAACCAGGTTTCTGCGACAGAAGAAACCTACATCCATACCAACACAGCCTCTCCGCTTGTCGCCAGAACAAGCATAGATCAATCGGCACAACGCTCAAAGGAGCATCTCCACCAAACTGTCTTTCTTTGCCTCGTGATACCTTGCGAACAAGCAATTGACAGCCATGGCCGACATCACTGATCAGCACGACCAGGGCTCGCCCGGCGACCTCGACGAGGCGCACTCTGTCGGCAATGGCAGCGTCGGCGAGAACCGTGGCGTCAAGCGTCAGCGCCCCAGCGCCGCCGACGACGACGACGACGATGACGAGAAGGGAGGTCGTGAGCGTCGCAAGATTGAGATCAAGTTTATCAACGATAAATCGAGACGCCACATCACCTTTTCCAAGCGCAAGGCCGGCATTATGAAGAAGGTAAGAAGTCACCACCGGCGCGTCGATCAAGCGTCGCGCCCCCATCTCCTTTGTTGTCCCCCGCAATCGCTAACACGATTGAACTCGCAGGCATACGAGCTATCCGTCCTCACCGGCACTCAGGTGCTCCTGCTTGTTGTGTCCGAAACTGGCCTGGTCTATACCTTCACGACACCCAAGCTCCAGCCTCTCGTGACTAAGGCCGAAGGCAAGAATTTGATTCAGGTATGCTGCGTTGCGCACAGCCCATGAGCTTGCTGTCGCGCGAATAATGACTGACTGGTGTGATAGGCGTGTCTGAACGCTCCGGAGCCCAGCCAGGGCGGCGAGAACGGTGTCGACGACGGCAACCAGGTTGAGTCCCCAGAGGAGCCTCCCCAGCAGCATCTTCCCCCGCAGGCCGGTCGTCAGCAGGGTATGCCCGGCGCTCCTCACATGCCGCCCAATTACATGCCCGCCAATATGGGAATGGACCCCTCGAACCTTGCTTATGGCGGCTACGTCAACCAGCAACAGCGCGGTGGCTACCCCATGGCGCAAGGCGGACTTCCTCAGCACTCGTCCCATCAGTCATGATTGAAGATTTCTTCGACGAGTGGATGCTTGCTTTCCCGCTGAAAAGCCGGCGCGTGCTCGACGTTCCGAAGTATTTGGAACGTTACGTATCGCCTGGGCATCGAGGCAACGCCCACATAATATGCGAGGTTCCGACGGTATGGCGTTCGCACAGGTGCCTTTTTTGTTTGCATTACGCATCGTTGCTTTTTCTGCATTTCTTCTTCTCGTCCCGCAAGGTCCTGTCTGCTCCAATATCGGTCAGCCTTGCAAAGCTTCTTCAGTGGTCCGCCAATCTTCAGGCCCGACCCCACAGCGTCTGCTCATGGACGCGGTTGAGGTTGTGGATTCGACGGATCAGTAGATGACTCGGCGGGAGGGGGGGAGCTCGGGTGTGATGACGAGGGATGCCGATCGAGACCGATGCTGCGGAAGTCTGGAACGCGGATAACGGGGCACAATGCCCGCGGCCCAGAGGCCAGCTTGTTTCTTTTTCTTCTCTCGGTGGTTGGGTCGTTTGGGTCGGCAAGGTGGAAGGGAGGGACGATATCGGAGTTGGGTCTGATGATATACTACGGCCAGGAGAGGCCATCCCTCTCTCCAACGTGTAGGATTAACGGCGATACCCGGTCTGGGGAGGATGCTATTTCTGCCCAAAAAAAAATGGTTCTCTGAAGAAACAAAACTATGCACTGAAACAGAACGTCTGCCTCGATCGCCCTGCAGACGTAGTTACTGCCGAAACCTCACGGCCCTGCGCTACCAATCGCTCAAGATGAGACATGCGCAGATCTGAACATCCAGCGTGCGTGCCTCACGACTCGCCATCCACTCATGAGTAGGGTTCGGACCTGATCTCGACGAACCCGACAGATTGGGTTCGATTGGGTTCACTGATCAAGTAGGCAGTGATGGACATGGTGCGCATTGAACTACGTCCTGGGACGGGATAGTGCGCCTGGGGCATTTACGTATCGGGCATGGGCGGTCCGCACAACAAGGTGACGGGCCGAGAAGAGGGGGGGGGGCTTTACGACGGTAGGGCACCTACGTACATGGTACTCTGGACAATGGCTACGGGGGTGTTACAAAGGTCGGCAGATGGCTGGTCTCTCCTTCTGGGGACCCTTCTGGGAAGAGGGGGCGCGCGCGCGGATTGGAGTGGGAGTAGGCAAGTAGCCTTTGGTTCATAGGATGGCGACGGTGGATCGCAGCGCAGCATTTCACGCGTGTCAGTCTGTGAATGTGTGCGCGTGTGTTCTTCTCTTTCGCTGGGGCTGGGAGGCGGCTGTTTCTCCTGGCCCATCTCTCTTGTTTGTGATCGCGACCGTGTCGGATGTGGGCGCGCATCGGGGGGCGGGGAGAGGGCGCGCGTGCAGCCACATTTGCGACGTTTTGGTGAGGGGGTGTGGCTGACGGTAGTGGCTTGACCTCGATGAGCCACTGGCGTGATGACAAAGTGGGATGGGGTGTCGGCTGTCACGTGCATGATTGGCTTCTGAGGAGTGGATCCGATGTGAGCGGGTTTGAGAAGGTTTCTGCACGGACCACGGACGATGCTACGGGTGTAGGTACCGGTACTTGAAGGAGCCGGTCGCTCGGACGGGGGAGAAGTGCAGACACGGGCCGGGCTTCAATGTTCGACGCGAAAAAGGCAGAGCGGTCACGGCGTGTTTCATCTGCTTTTTCATACTGATCTGCTTCTTCTCCTGATTCTACGTGCTTGGGATGCAAGAGGGCTTCGCCCTGGGAGTTGTGATTACGAGGCACGCATTACAGCATTATACGCAGTGCTGCGGAAGAATGCACGAAAGGACGAGAAGAATGTCGCTCGAAAGAATGCCTTGTTTTTCTTTTCTTTTCTTTGTTTTGGCTGGCTGGCATCTGAAATAACATGTTGTTATGGCCACCCGCAACCACTCTAGTGCTCGCTGTGAATGGCATAGCGACCGACGGCAATACTGCCGAGGAAGACGCCACCGAGGACAGACAGGAAGTAGCCGACATTCATGCTCATGACTGCCAACATGCTATCATATCGCGTTAGCGCTCGCTCCCGGGGCGACGCACACCCCGTGCAGGGCGCGAGGGACACTCACAGAAGGTAGCCGACGCCGGCAATGACCGTGTCGAGGAGGGCGCGGACGGGGTCGACGGAGAAGCGCCACGGCCTCGTGAGTCCGTGTTTTCGCTGCACGACAGTGACGTTCTCCTCGCGGCCGTTCTCCGAGATGACCATCTGCTTGGCGAGGCTGTCGGACGACAGCTGCTGGCCGAGGGTGTTCTTGTCGGCGACGACGACGTACCGGCGCTTGAGCTCCTGGTCGAGCCAGCGCTGCTCTAGGAGGGCCTTGCCGGCGAGCATGACGCGGAGCAGGGAGGCGAGCACGATGAGGAAGATGCACGTAGCAGCGTACGTGCCGACGCTGTTGGGCGTCCACGCCTCGCTGTAAAGGGACGTTTGGATCATGTTCTGGAAAACGACCATCATGCCCATCTCGTGGCCTCCCATGCTGCTACCGTCGGTGCTGGCGGCCGTCGTGGCATCGTGAGCCATGTCGCCGTGTGGAGCTCGGGCTTCCATGGTGAGAGTTGGATGGTGAGGAGGGTGTCGAATTGGGGTATCAAGGGAGGAAGAACAAGGCAAAAAGAAACGACGATGCCGGCTCGTCGGTGTTGGACGTAACAGTCGAGTTTGTTTGTATATGCTCAGCACGAGGCTTTCGAGTTGAGCCGGAGGTTGGACCGGCGTCCAAGATATACGTTGCGACGATGAGAAGGTTTGCGGGAGATCTTCAGACGCAGGACGTGGCGCTCGTCGTCGAAACAAGGCTCGGGGGATATCCGGGGAGGGAGTACGCTCCTGGCAGGCCGACCTGGTCGTCTCGTCGCATGAAAATGGAATTTGGTGGTCTGGTCTCGTCTGGTGTCTGAACCAGGAAATGTTTGAGCACGGGTGATCTCGACTATTTGAAGGCACCCGGATGGGAGGCGGGGTGGTACCTCGAAGGCCCTGTACTGGAGTGTCCCTTGGCCGTGCTCCAGTGGAGTCTGAAGGGCAAAGCCAAGATGAGGACCTCGCGGGGTGCAAATCTTAGCCACGTCATTGGTAGATGAGCAGCTTTAGCGTCGCCTAGGGACTCCGCCTGAATGTACCTCTACATTCTTTCTATGTCGGCCACACACATCGTTACTCAGAGCCTCAACTCCATGCAGCAACGAGAAATAGTTGCCATGACATATCCGCATTATAAGCCACAACGAGCTCCATGAGCCATGGTTGATGAATCTTCTTAGCGCAGAATGCTGATCCCGTCTTCCGAGCAAGTTCACCCATAACTGCTTTCTTCAGCGGTGCCTCACGAACAGATTCGTCGGGCCAGCAACTTGCTTCTGCACCTCATACCAACAGCCCACCATGCTTTCAACGGGCTCTGGACATCTCGGACGAATTCGAAACAGCCCACCACCTCGGTAGGTGTTCCGACGCAGTTCAGGTGCGACTCGGGAGAAAAGTGGTGTGCCACTCCGCCCAGAGGCCTAGATCGAGATCGAACAGCATTAGTCTTTTTTTTTTCTTTCTTGAAACAGCCCTCAGTATCTTTCGAGCCTCATGCACAGGACTTCTGTCTCCTTTTCTTCGTCTGATCACGTTCTCGATCCGCACTTTTCCCCCTCACCCTTCTCCTCCGACAACAGTGCCACTGACCAATCGCAACCATCTCGCCTTGTGATCCATTCGATGCGATGATATTCACAATGGCTACATCCTCTAGGTAGAGAACATTACCTCTGCCCCTGATGACTGTCCCATCTCGTAGTAATTGCCTCCTTCGTCAAACTGTGGAACATCCCAAGTCGATTCTATTCGAATCGAAATCAGGGTCGTCTTGTTTTTGCCACGCACTTTGCGTGCGGTTTCGGTGCTGATCCCATGTAATGCTTGTTTGCACATGAGATATTGTCCTGTCGGGGCAAAATCACCATGGATACTTCAATGACTTCCAACCCAGTACCGGGTGCTCGAGGCCAGCTTGTACCTGCTCACTCGGCCGAGGTCTACTGTCGAGGAGCTTCTTCATGGTCAATACCTCGCTCTCATCCTGTCGCCGGCGCGAAAAGGAACAGCGGCCTCGCGTCCTCGTAGACCGTGCAGCAAGCATCGCTAAATGTCAGAATCACGGAATTCGTCCGAGTCGCGGGCCGATTCCAATGCCCATCCCCGACGCGATGAGCCGATGGCCAGAAACTTCAAAGGAATCATGCGTGTCGTCGGGCGCTTGACCGAGGGAGCGAGCCTGCCAATTGACGAACTCTGGCGCAATCGCGCCGTTGAGGTCGATGGCGAGGATTGGAAATATAGCGTCAACTGGTTGTCGCACGCCATGGCTGAAAAGAGAAGCACCTCGATCTTGCTGTAGGACGCCCTTCGAGCGCCTTGTTACACTCCGTCAACGAAGTCCAGGGCTTGCCTCTTGAGGCGAGGACCAGTTCATGAGATCCTAGCACAAGTTGCGTAGCAACGGCATGTTGAAGGGCTGTCGAAAGGCGTTGATCTCCCAGAGAGTACCTGCGGGCCCAACATGTTGTCCTGTGGATTCGACTTGCCGCGACGAGAACTGTAAAATGAAGACTGGGTTCCAATCGGGACAGACTAGGTGCCACGTTCATATATCCTGCGCTGGTCTTGAGGTCCCCTGTCCTCAGAAATAACGTTACACGTCACGGTGACGTTACAGTCTCGGATTTCTCTCCGAACGGCCAGTTTGTGTGGATTGGAACGTATCATGTTGTTGGCAGGCCCCTGTAAATCACAGACACTTTAGCCGGCAGAGGCATCGGAAATGGACAGGGCTGCCGGGCTTTTCCATCTGCGCCGTGCTGGCAGGGTTGCATCGCCTCAGCGGGTCCACGATATGTCTTCGGAAACATTGCCGAAATCCTTTGCTGTGCAAGGATACCCGGTGAACTCTGGCCCGACCCGGAGCAATATCCCTGGCGCAAACCACGATTTCTCTGGCAAAGTGAGATCTCCGCAACGTATGACCTGGTTTTCCTACCGGTCTGACGCTGAATACCCGATTAGGAGTGCTGACTGTCTCGTCCTACCAGACATGCTGCAGCCACCCAGCGATGTCACCAGCAGAGGGACACTTTTCCCCTGCGCATCGGCACCCATACCCTTCTCCCCGATAGTGTCGCGCGTCCAAATGCTAGCATCCTTGGAGGAGGCGTGCTGCAGCGATTCACGATCCGATACCAGAGCAGCCGCCACTCCCGTCAGCCGTTGTACCGGGGGGCAGGGGTGTAGATCTTGTACATATCCCTTCCGTATCCAGGTCCCGGATCTGCGTCAGGCCGCCGTGGCTACGCGGGGAGGGGGGGGGGGGGGCGTGAAGTAAGGAAGTGATCGCGGATGGCTGCAGGCCAGGTTCCTGGTGGCTCACAGGCCCATCCATATGCTGCCCCGTCGGCCCGTCTGCACACAACCCAAACCGCGGGGCCGGGATCAGGGGCGGCGGTCGAGGCAGGTTCCCGAGTCTATTTTGACGACCTGTTGTCCGTGTTGTCAGGGCCCCCACCACCCCCTTGAAGGCCCTTCGTCCATTTGCTCAGTAGGAGTTGGCTGTAAGTTCCGACAGGATTCTTCGCCGACAATGAGAAGGCGAGTGGGATGATGGCCCCTATGGGATGCATTGGCGTCGGCAATACTGCCGGCTTCTGAAGACCATATTCCTGCCGTGCTTGACAGTATTGCTGCCCACGCCAGTGACGCCAACCGCTACTTTTCAGTGCGAGGTATGCTACGTTCCTGTGTTTGCAGCTTCAAGGGGTCCTCTGTGACAGGCCCAAGACATACATACGTAAGGAGTCGTCAGGAGGAACTTGTTTGTATCAATGTGACCTTACGTATATAGCAACTTGACGGTGACTTCGAGATTGCCAACATTACCATGGAGACCTTCGAGGTTGCCGCCAACGTTCCTGCTCGAGCTACCGTCCGGGCCGCGGAAGAGCAGCTCTGGTGAGCACGTAGGACAGACAAATGAAACGCGTCGAAGCCAGCCAATGAGACTATTTTCGTGCCCGCTTCCGCTTGACCGCCTGAGACGAGTATTGGGTGACACGAGCGACGATACTCCTGAAAGATCGACGTGAGTCCAGTGTCACCACCGTGCCCAAGCCCGGAGAAGGTGGCGGTCTTGAACCGGAATAAGGCTGACGATGGGCGGTTGGCAGACCAGGAGAATCCATGGGACGTGAGATGCACTTGGCGACAATGTGCCAGGGCTACAATGTGCCAGGGCTAGCTATAAGGCCACGAGTCAATACGGTGTGCTCAGCAGTCGGTGGGAGGAGATTGGAGGAGACACGTTGTTACCAGCGCGGAAGCTCGACAGGATGGGCACGGGTGACGGCATAGACACGATGCAGGCAGGAGAGCGTCCCGTCACATATTGTCGACGAGACGCACACTGGCGGCGTATGAAGGTTCTCTTGTGTCAGGCGGCAATGATGGCAATGAAGGCGCGACAACGAATGTGCCTGCCTGCTCAGTTTATCACTCTACAACAAGAGGCAGGAATGATCGTCGTGCCTGACGTCTGAACGCCGGACAACGGACAACGGACAAGATGGACACCCAACGCCACGATCACCGTCGGGCAGACGTGTCCAATGGGGCGGGTTCCAGCTGGCTGACCCCTTCCCGGCGACGGCTGCAGGCTATGGCGTTTCCCACAGCCACCACATTTGGTCGAAGCGCCGCGAGTGCCACCAGGGCCATCACCGCCACGGCCAGCATCGTCAGCAGCTTTCCGCAACTCGCCTTGGAGTGCATGGTCCGCTGCTCGGCAAGGCCCATAGCAGTGCACCCTCTGTCTTACCCAACCCGGAGTGCTCGGAGTGCTGAAGCGCTCTGCCCCTGCTGTCCTCTCTCTTCTCGGTGATGGAGATTCGGAATCAACGACGTCAGCAAGATTAGAATTCCTTCTCGATGCATTGCATTGTCTCCGGATGCGGGCAGAAAGAAACAAGCTCAACCCAACGACCTCAACAACGCCTTGTCAGGACGTGGTCCATGACGAAAGGAGGGCCTGGCAAAGCCAATGAACAGCAACACTAGACCCATCGAAAGATACACAGAACATGCCAATCTTTGGCTCCCTGCACCCCAGCAAACGGCTTCAAGTCATTGGCAACGCCTGGGCCTGGCCATCAGCCTGACAGAACCCTCCGAATGCCGAGCGGGTCGTCAGGTGTGTGTACTTCGCGCCATATGGAATGGGAAACCCCATTGAAGGAACGGCAGTGTGGGGAGGCAAGCGGGCAAAACCTGTCCCGGACACAGTTCAACCTCAGCTGAAAAAAGGCAAACGCGCTTGGCCGCTTGGTGGCTCATGTACTGTACACACAGACGCATACACACCGACAGCAACGACTAGGCATGCGGGCTATTTGGGAAGTCGAGGCTCTGTCTCGCCTGGTCTGTTCTGGCCTGCTTGTCATCTGCTGTCTCGCCCAGCCTCACCCTACCCGTCTGTCAATCGCTCCCTCTCTATCTCCTTCCTACACCCCACCCCACGCTATACACGTTTCTCTGCTTCTGGCTCTTGCACTAACGTCTCGACCGCCTGATGCCTGCTGGGCAGACGAATGGAAAGGAGAGAACTCGTGACAAGGCCAGACCACACGAGACGAGACAAGCGAAAGCGAAAGCAAACACAGACACAGACACACCCCTCCCCTCCTCTCTCGCACAAAGGAATGACGGTCGCCGCCCTATTCACGGGGTTGGTCAATTAACCGACAATGAAACTAGAGCAAGGCGACCGTCGACGCACTTGCCCAGGCTAGGGCGCCCTGCCACGAGACGAGTGGGCGCGCGCCGGGGCGTGAGAGCAACTGACATGTCGAGTGGTCCTTTCACCCGCCTGCTAGCTAGCTACTAGCTAGCGGGACAGGGCGCATTCGGAGGCGAGAGTAGACGCACCAAGTGTGGGTGTGGGTATTTCAAAGCTCGGGGGGTACGGTGTCGAAGCAGACAGGGACTTGGGGAGAGAGAAAGAGAGGCGAGTAAGAAAAGGAGGGGGGAGTGGTGGTTCGGCCAGATCAGCCCGCGGCGTACGCCCAGGCACAGGCATGGAGGATGGAACGGGGACCCTTCTCATGCTCTCGTCTCTTTCAGTCCTACTATGTTCCCATTCCGTGCTCGCTACCTACCTTATGACGGTAACATTCTGCAAACCTCCCTGCAGCCTCACCAAAAAAAAAAAACTTCCGCTGAAATAATACTGCCTCGCCCTTTCTCATCAGCCGCAATAGGCAGGGGGGCGCGCCCCGGGTTGAGGATTTTGTGAGAGGAAGGGGGGGGTGGTCAGAGAGCCCACTGTTTCCCTAGCTCCCTCCACCCCCCTGGCCCTTCTCCCCATCTTTCTACCGCACCGCGTGCTGCTGGAGAACGGAAGAATCGAATTCAGAAGGGACAAGCGAAAGAATGCCGATCATCAGGGGGGCAGCGTGTGTCGTAGTGCATCAGGGGCGCCTCTGGAGAGATGAGTGGTATCGGAGGGCGGGAGGAGGGGGAACGAGGGCTGCTGATCACTTGCGAAGAAAAGTTCATCCCCTGAATTATGACCGTAAGTAAGATACCTAGAGAGAGAGAGAGAGAGACCTTGGAGGCGAGAGAGAACGAAGGAGGGGGGTAGAAGCAGAGAACACACCTCGCCCTCGATCCCGGGCGCGTGGGCGCCGACCCTGGGATCAGAGACCGCCTCAGTAGTGCAGACGCCAATCATGACGGAGAGAGGGAGACCGCGAGAGAGGTTGTTGCTTTTTTTTTTCTGCCTCTCCCCGGTCTCCTCCCATCTCCCAGCTTCTCAGCCTGGGCTGAGGTTTACCTGGACTGCACGTCCACTGACCGGTCTCTCGGGCCTCCCCCGTCCTCCATGTCATCATCTCCTAGGCAAGACAGCCACGGCACGTCAGGTGAGGAGGTGAGATGGGGTGGGGGGGGGTTAAACAGGAGGGCGATCGTGATACTGCGGACGAGAGCAATCGCCCAGGGCCTCTGACCGCAGCCCAACAAGAGACCATGACTACGTTGGCCGACGAGCTAGAACCGCGATGAAGAGAAGAATGGCCTCATTCTGAGCCGGCACCTCCGTACTCGCTGTAATACCAGCACTTGGCCTTAGCTCGCGCCGCCCCCTCGTTCCCCTGGTGGCGCACGCGGTAGTGGCACGAAGGGAAAGAAGAGACTTTGGGGGGTTATGGTCTGCTGGACCAAAGAGTTGTTTTTTTTCGGTCCTCCTGAGGGTGGCCTCTCTCTGCAGCAGCATTGGTGAGCCAGGGCAGCCGGTATCCGAACATCACTCGCTACAGAGCAGTTGTGGGCGAAAACGTGGAGGCGATAGCGGCGGCACTTGTTCGGAACTATGCTGTGCTATCCTATACAACATTCACAGGCACGGCCGCTTGTCGGTATCACTACGGGTGATCATCTCGTCAATTATATATCTCTCTCTTCAATCCCCCAATGATCATCATCGGTGAGGCCGGACAACCCAGCCTGCAGGCTTGAACCTTGATGGAAAATTTAGAGAATCGTGGGGGGGAGGGAATAACAAACTCCACTGCCTGTTTTGTTCTCCATATCTCCGGGCCCCATGGTCGTGCTTTGGTACGGTGACGAGGACGGATCCAATGCGCCGCAGGTAGTAGACCTTGAGATCAGCATAAACCAGTGCCCGTACCCCTTCGTTCTTAGTCTTGGACTGGCCACACGCTGGTCAGGCCTCCACAGGTACAAGTCGTGACACAATGCAGAGTAAAACGCCGGCGGCCACGACCGTCGAAAACACGGGCGATAAAAGTGATTAGTCTGGTGATCAGGGGGCTGTTTCGACAGAATACTTCAGCAAGCCTGTTACTCGCAAAGCCCATACATCAACAGAATCATAAGAATACAACAAGGCGGGGGTGAAAAAAAAACCCAGAAGACTTCAAAGTCTGGACCGAAGTGGTAAAATGCCCAATGCCTCCCTTTTGTCCTGGCGCCCCTCCCAGACCGTAACCCAACCACCTCGCAAATGCTGCCTTGGCTGTCCGTTGCCCCATCGTTGGGGGGAAGAAAACCCAAAAAAGACAAACGGACCGCAACGTCCAGTAGAAATATTAAGAGACGAGAATAACATAAAGTCCATGTCTTGGCCCTGCTCCTCTCGTACCAGCTTGGGAAAACGACAGGTTATTCCTCTACTCGTCATCCTTCTTGATAGATGGCGCCAGTGGGCTTTCGCTGCCATCAGAGCCCCCGCCCGGAGAGCGTGTTGTTTCTGTACCGTTCGTCTTCTCCCCGCCACATCCCTTGACCAGGCGGTGCCTCTGTAGACGTGTTAGTATGCACTGCCTTGACGTATAAGGGGAGCGAGACCAACCTTCAAAGCGTCTTTCCGAGAGAAGCTCTTGTCGCAGTGGTCGCAAGGAAAGGGCTTGACCGCCAGATGAATGCGCTTATGTCGCTTCAAGTCGTGATTTCGGTTGAAGGACTGGGGGCACTGATCGCACTTGAAGGGACGCTCCTGAGGGTTGTTCTGATGCGCACCATATAGGTGTTGCATATGGTGACCGCCATATCCCGGAAGATTCATGCCTGGCATGACGGAGAGCGGCCCACTGGGATTGCTGAGGTTGGACATGATGGGACCGCCCATGGATGGAACCTGCATACTATACTGAAACGGACGATATGGTTGAGGGGGCGCCATGCCGGAGTGATGTCCGGCGAGGGCGTGGAGGCCCCTGGAGGCAGCCGTCGACGTGGTGGGCGAGGGCGCACTGGACGAAGAGGGATAATAGGAGGGTTGATGAGGCGCCGAGCCGAAGGATGGCTGATGCGGCGTGGATGCCGACGAGAAGTAGCTTGGAGTCGAAGGGGGCCGTGTATATGGATCAACGTGAGACACGGCGCTCAAGGGCGTTGGAGGTTGCGTCGAGGCCGTCGACTGGGGATTCAGGATGCCGCCTCCCGGCGCCGTGTGGCCGTGAGCGTGGCCGTGAGCGTGGCCGTGGGATGGCAGGCTGCCTGACGCGGCGCCTCCGTGGCCGAAGAGGCTGCCAGGGAACTGGTGCTGGCTGTGGCCGTTGGCGTGGCTGCTGTGGGCGTGGCCATAGGTGGGGGAGGGGTCATGGGGGGCGCGAGCGGTGGTGTTGTACATGGACGACCCGGGATCATATGAGCTCGCCTTATGGTCATATGGATGCGTGTGCGCATGTGTGAGGGTATTTGGGGTTGGGGAGACGGAGCTGAGGGTGTAAGCTGGGGCGCTGGGCGTCGGCCACGATCCATGGGCGGAATAGTGACTGGACAGCCCGCTGAGGGCGCTGTGCTGAGAACTGCCGCTGTTTGCTCCAGAAGTCGAGGAACCAGGACTCAAGACGTCAGCGCCGCCTCCTGTTGGTGTCCGCGTTAGAATGTTTCTAGAGTCGTAAGGCGGACCATAACGCGAGGCGGCCGCCGGGGAAGTCCTCAGTTGGGCTTCCCCTGGCAAGTCACCTTGCCATCGGGGTGTCTGGTCCTGGCGGGAGGAATGAGGGGCCATGGTGTTCTCACTGGGTACTTCGGGAGGCTGCGACGATATGCCCAGACGCGGCAAGGCAGCGTTCCTCCGATCCTTCAGTCCTTCGAAATCCATAGCACCTCAGTTGCGTCAGGTGTTCCTGCTGTCGTAGTCGTCGTACCCGTGGCTCGCCTGGGTGGCAACATGCGTCAGAGCAGCCACTCCGAAGAAGACGCTCTCCTCAAGGGGCGGACAGTGCAGTCGCTAGGCGCTGGCACCGGCGAGATCGCAGAGAAACGAGGACGACGCGGCGTTGATGCGCAGCTCTGTCTAGGCAAGCAAAGAAACGGTGCTGGTCTCTGAAGAGGCGGCCGTCGTTGCTGTTGCTGTCGCGAAAACCGTGTGCGTATGGCTGGGTGAGTAGTGCTTGCGGTGGTGATGGTGGAGGTAGAATAGTGGTTCGTGGCGGATGGTGTTCAGCAGGCGTTCCTTGACGCCAAGGGCAATGCTGGTGTGGTGTAAGTTGTTGAGGCGCGCCGCAAGGTTCCGCCGCAATGGTGTTGTTGGTCACGTAATTGGGGAGGGGGGAAAGCTTGAGGAGACCTGGCCAGCTTTCCCAGTAGTTGGAACAATGCAGACGAAAAGTATAGTATCGTGGAGTCGTGTTCTTTCGTCCAAGGTCGTCGGGCGGGTATCGTAAGGTGAGTATTGTTGGACGAGGTGAAAGCAGCTGTGGTGAGAGCTGAGAGTGACTTGGTGATGGGGAAGAGGCAGGGTTGGATATATGTACAGGGCTTTGTTACCTTGGAGCTTGCACTTGCACACGCTCGGCTGGGTTGTCTACATGGCACCCCGTGCCTGGATACTTGGATAACTGGATACCTGGGGTCTGGGTAGCGAAGGGCCAGAGGCGAGAGGCAAAGAGACAGACAAGGGCATGCTGCTCCCTGACTTCCACGAGACGAGCTGACCGAACCGGACTGGGCTACCAGACCCTGGCAAAATGGGCCTTGTCTTTTCTTGCCCCAGAGCCAAACCCAGCGCACCAACACCAGCACCAGCACCAGGACGAGCTCCAGCCCCAGCTCCGGCACGGGGCAGCAGACAGAAGGCAACACTGGCGAGAGTAGGTAGGTGCGAGGGGGCCACCAGTGTGAGCCGCCCAACAATAGGGAAACATGAACCGACAAAGTAGCGCGCCTGCTGCCCCAGAGCTGGGACTGGGCCGGGACCGGGGCTGATGGCGACTGGCTAGTGTCGACTGTAGTGGCTAGGGGGGGGGGGGGAGGGGTATAGGGGTGTCAAGGTATGAGGACGAGGAGCGGAAAGGAAGGGGTGGGGAGGGGCGTGGATGTCCTGGAACGACTGGGTCGTCGGCTCGGGTTCTGGTCAACAGTGAGGTGCGGGAAGGATGCGCTGCGCTGGATCAAACTTGGGAGAGTCCCGGGTGGCACCTGCCTGCTAGTTCGGGAGGGCTGAAAAAGACCCCTGGAGCATTGGATGGCTGGGTGGCCACTGACAGTCCAATCTGGGTAGGGAAGCGGCGGTACGGTGGTCACGGCGAGGAGGTAGGTAAGGAAAGCATGGCGAGAATCAAGCTACCTGAGGTGGGCAAGCACCTTGTCTCTCTCATCAACGGGACGAGCTTGTGCGGGCGAGAGAAGTACATGGGCCACCGCCCAACTCTACCTCAGCCAAGTCACACGCTACGACTACCATTCCATGTTCGCTCGTTCAAAGCCTCGCTGTTTTGCCACGCCCTCGCATCATGTTGAAGAAGACAATAAGCTCCACGTAAATCGAGAGGGAAAAAATAATCCCTCGAGATAATCATGCATGACGACTGAAAACTGAGTCGTCCTGAATGCTTGCTGGCCCTCACGGAAGAGGGGGTCGGGGGCGGCGGGCGAGGAACGCAGAACGCCTTGGGCTTGCATGGCCAAGATCAGATCAGGTCAAGTCACAGATGGCCAGGGGAAGGGGGGGGGGGGGAGACCTTGTCCTTTTTTCCCTCAACGTGACAAAGCTGGTGTGGTTCAGGTGGTGCGGTGCGCCCTTCCGGCTTTGCTCTATGATCAGATAAGTAGCTGGTGCCCCATCAACGAGAGGCAAGGATTGGGCTATGATAGTCCTCGTCATGCTCGGGTCCTAGGATCATGTACATGGCACCGGGCTTCGATATCCCAAGATAGGAGCCCTTCTCTGGTCACTCAATTCATCGTACAGTTCCCTCGCGAAAGGTCGGATAGCAGGCAACGCAGGCAACAACCAGAGACATTGCACATGACGCACACAGTGCACGGTACATGGTACTCCGTCTCGCCCATTTACAGTCCTCAGATTTCTGCTCACCTGGCTGCAGTTGGGACACCCACATGCTTGGCAGCCAAACTGCGGGCAAGGATCGAAAACGTGAGGAGGAAGAGGGGGGGGGGGCACCAACGCGAACGGCAGGGGCCCCAATTCCAAGGGTGTGGTCTCAGGGGAGGGGCTAGACCTGCCATTGTGGAAAAAAAACATGAGATCAAGTAATACGCATTCCGCCAGCCGGGCAGTCCGCCAAAGCTGGCAGCCCGCCCAAGGCCTAAGGCCAAGGCCAAGCCAGGCCGCCTCGCCCACCGCCCGTCCACCGGGTCTCCTCATGCCAGGACCAGGGTATTTGAGAGCGAATTAGGCCACAGAGCAGCGACTCTTTTTTGGGCCCAAGAGTCGACCAAGGGGAGTTCGCCAGACGTCAATGGCAGGCACCTCAGCACGAGCGCGCATGTGTGGAGCTTGCCTAGACCTTCATCGTGAATAAGGAAGTAGCTTAGCCAGATCTCAAACCGAACCCCCCTCCAAGGACGTGGGTGCGTGCCATCCCATGCCACGGCGTGCCAAACCAATGGACTGGCCATCTTCCCCAGGATGGAGGCTGGTCCTTGTCTGGTGCTTCTGTCCTTCAAGTGGTGTGCACCAAATCTTTGGGATCTGCAATGGGAGTTCTTGTCAGTCATATTAATTTGTCTGCACTGCCAAAAATTCGCTGTGCGAGAGGCTTTCATGTACCACGATCAACCCGCTAGCGAACGAGTCCAACCGTCTTGACTGGCCCCGTACCTCTCGATTCCATGTGGACGCAGCGGGCTAGGCAAGGTTGGCAGGCATGGCGGTGGGCCGCCTCGTAGGATGCTGCTTCGAGACAGGCCTAGCAAGCCAGTGTTCGAGATGAAGCCGCCTTCCGAGGCCGAAGGCACACAGGTCGGGCCGGGCCACCACATATATCGAGAGGGTCCACAGGTTACCAGGCGACGTGAGGGCCATACACTCAACCTTCCATACGTTGGCAACAGAGAGCGCCCATTAGTGTGACTGTTAACGTCTTGTTCTTGTCGGGAGACATAAGTACCTAGGCCGTGACGAGGTGCCATGGCGTCACCGATGGTTAACTCGTCTGGCGCGCACTGGCCCGTCCCCAGCTCGTGCTCCAGACAGCAACCACCTCGCGCCGCATCAGCTGTTGTAAGGTACTGGGGATCAGGGGACAGTGTGTGGTGGCAGTCTCCCTCCCTGCCCCGGACGCTAGCTATTGTTCTGGTCTTGGACCTCCCCAGTTTTTTAAACTTTCGGTTAAGATGAACAGGATTGATTGCTGTGCCCCAGAAGGACATGGGGTCCGCCGATCCAGGAGCTCCACGCAAGTTGCACCTGTCCGTCTTGATGCCTCCTCTTGAAGGGAAAAAAAAACATATTCCCCGGCCGGTAAGTCAGACTACCGACCGTACGTGTCATTGTTCAATATTGTTGTTAGGTTGGTGTTGGCTGGTACAAAGAAAGAAGCAGAAACTCTGGAATGGCCGCTGATCAGGGCAGTCGAAACCTGTGCTCTAAAAGCCCAGTACGTCTCATCACCTAACCGGCTAGACAGTAAGTAGTCTCGCTTCTGTATATTTGTTCTCGTCTACCTAAACCAGAAACATCAGCGGAACTCACGGAGGGGAGATGAATGAACACCAAGCGAGGTGTGAGTGTATCGTCGATCGGCCACTCCTGGCTTGCTGCGATATCTAGCATTCATCATTCCTACCCTTTTGTCGGGTTCCTTCCTGTACGTCGGTTTCCTCTGATGCCAACAAATACGTCGGGGCGACCCTTGCTTAACCCACACAACAGCCTTACGGCGGCGCCAACTGCAAGAAGGGCATCGGAGGTTTGCTTCCTTTGAATCTCTGTACCTGCTCTCTTTTTGTCAACGCGAAACGTGTCGTTGGGTCGCCTGGTGCCTGGCTCACTGAGATGTTCTTCTACTCGGCAGTAAAACTTGTCGCAATCACGTCACAGCTGTTGTGACGCGCCTGGCGTCTCTCCCGCGCGCGCAGACCTGCCCCAATCACCACCCCCAGCCGCCGTTTGTGGTCAATGCTCCCTATGATAAGACGGGGCCCTACTCAACGACACGGCCAGAGTGACCAGACCAGCTGCCCGCATGGGTGCGAGCGAGTACCATGTAGTGCGTAGGCAATGGAGCTGAGGAGAGTGACTCCACACCATCAAACCGGCTCCCATTCGCAAGGGGTAAAGGGGGGGCCTCCTTGATGGAACGAGGCCCTGTCTGGTTGGTCGTACCCCCAAACGCATACTGCAGGTGAATCACTCGCTCGCCCACTCGCAGCCTTCCAGTCACTCTGGCTGGTCTGATTACCGCTTGATGCATGCTTGCCCCCAGACTTTGCCGGCGAGCCTTTTAGAGCAGGGAAATTCGACGGAACCATGCCGTGGTGCCCCGGCCGCTTGAGATCAGGCCTCCGAAATGATAGGGAAATGACGGGCAGTGAAGCGTAGCTCATGGGTACCATGCTGTCCAGGGACCCACAGTTATGGTCAGCTGTTCAACGATTTCTCCTGACCTTTCATCTGATCAGGCTCTCTCTCGTCTCTGGATGGCAGTGTGCGAACCTGGACATTGGCCAACATCAATGACATCGAGAGGAGGCCTGCATCACCATCGCCGCATGCTTGTGGTTCTGAAATGCTGCCAAAAATACAGAGCTCGTGATGTTGCT